CCTGGAGCCCACAAGGCCGGTTGTTTTAATAACATTACATGCTTTCTCACAGTTATTCTTTACGCGTGAGGAGCATTAGCTACATTAAGCAGAAATGAGACGCAACCAGTTCCTGTAAATTAAAAGCTTAGGCTTGGAACTAACTGAATTAACCCAGAGCTCACAAGCCTTCGGAAACGCAAGGTTTCGAATTCCATTCATTCGGCTCACATGAGGCTGGTTACGCTGAGTGTACTCCTGGAGACAGGCTGAATGGGCTTCAGGGCAGATGTGTAGTGATTTAATCAGATCTTGCACTGCACGTGAACTGAGGGGTCAGCCCGAGGAAGGGGGTGTGTCTCCCGAGTCTTTTCATTCATTCCTTGTGCTGTACTAAACTTGAAAGACTTTTAACTAGGCGTACAAATCATGATGAGGTTTAAAGGAGTCATTGGGACATTTCCTTTCTATTCTTCATAAAACTGTGGGATGATGTTCATATATTTCTAATTATGTGTATACTGTAGTTACCTATACCATGTATTAAATATATTCACATATTTATTAATGGAGAACAGTTGTCAGTAATGAGAGATACAGTACTGGAAACTGTGGATTGGAAACTGAAAAATTATACTGTGCTATATGGATGGTTATAGCATTTTCATATTTGTTTTTTGCAGAAGGGGAACAGATCTTTCATTTTTTTCCAGCTTTCTCCTTGTAGTTTATGCTTGTTACACCTTTATTTTTTTAACTTTCGGGCTGCTTAATCAGATATATTTTTTGGCAAAATCTGAAAAGAAGCGCCCTCCTCTCTGCTGTAACTGTGGAATAAGGAATGATCAGAGCACCAGTGTTCACTTCGGGTCCCCGAGGTCTGCTGTGTCTCCTGGCTTTCGTTCCACCCTGGACTCTTAACGACTGGGACCATCTGTTCAAGTATCGGTTTGTATTGCCTCTGGTTTCACGTCTTTATCGTTGAGGCTTATAGGTTTCCTGTAAAACCTGGTGGACTGCGCTGCTCCAGGATCAGGAGTGAAGATCATTGGTGTCTAGTGTAGGTGTGTAGTAGGAGACTTTAGCCGTGGGAATTAATCTTATTTCCAATATTTATGATCCCCTTCTGCCGGTGTTTACGAGCTACAAACAAAGTGGTGAGGAAAACCTTAAAAGCACAGAAAATGTTGTTAAAAAGTTGGCGAGTGCCCTGTCCTTTCCACTTTCTTCATGTCTTTTGTCATCACTGGGCCAAATTGCACCACCCTGCTCTGAGCGTTGTGATTGTTCAAGCTGGAGGAAAAAAGAAACACTCGATCAGATTGCGGTTTATTAGGAAAGTCGGTGTGGTGGCATCCTGTTGTGCCAGGTATGATGGGTAAGTGGACGTTTCCGCGCTATGAAGCGGGGAGTAAACACACTGGCGCTGAGGGAGGAGTGTAGTGGGGCTTTTTCTCGAGGAGGGAGAGGATTGGGTAAACGGGCTGTTGTGTCCTCGCCCCAGAACCCGAAGACGTCGGAGGCGGTGCGGAGGCTGGCGTCCGAGGGCGACCTGGAGGAGCTGCGCGCCTGCTTCGGCTCCCGCATGGAGTTCGGCACCGCCGGCCTGCGGGCCGCCATGGGGGCGGGAGTCTCCCGCATGAACGACCTCACCATCGTCCAGACCACTCAGGTACCGCGTCCACCGTCTCCACTAGGGGGCGATGCTGGGGCGGGCACGGAGGAAAAGCCACGGCGTTGCCGGTGCTGTTCCGGCGGACGGGACCGTCTCTGAGCGGCGCTCTGTGTGCTTGCAGGGCTTCTGCAGTTACCTGGAGAAGAGCTTCCCAGACCTGAAGAGCAGGGGGGTGGTGGTCGGGTTCGACGCGCGGGCGCATCCCCCCAGCGGAGGCAGCAGCCGAAGGTACCATCTTCCACCCTCCCTCACCTGTCCCCGTACCTCTGGGCTCTTGTCCAGACAATAAAGCCCTCTTATTGTGGTGAATGGTCTTACAAAATTACAGACGTTTACAAAACAAGACTTAATTGAGAGGCTCACTCTCTGTGAGTGTTTCCTTTGTGCTCCCTCACGTTCTGATTCTGGCAGAAGTGGGCACTGTGGGATTAGATTTGCTCTTTTAGGGGGGAATGTTTGTCTAAGACCAGTGTTTCTCACAGCTCTGTCTCTGTTTCTGTGTGCTGGCAGTGAGAGTACAGCTTGTTCTCTCTAGGCAGCCAGGTCTTTGTCCAGGTTGTGGTTACTGAGCCTCTCCTCTCTGGGCGGCCGTGTCTTCATGTGTCCAGTCAGCTGTGGTCACTGAGCCTATGCTTTTTCTGGTTGCTTTCCCCTTACTGTCTTTTACCCTGGTCAAAAACTCCAGCGGGCGAGGTAGTGTTTGTCTTGTACTGTGAATTTTTCTAATTCGCAATATCTCCTGCAGGTTTGCTAACTTAGCTGCTACAGTTTTCTTAAGCCGTGGGGTTCCAGTGTACCTCTTTTCGGACATCACACCTACGCCTTTTGTGGTATGTCCCGTCGTGTTTCTCCGATCTGACCCACTAGCAGTCTGTACCTGAGAAAGAGAGACTGTTTATGTTCATTACACCTGATCGTCTCCTGTTAACTTATTGAAGTCTTTAACTGAATTAAATGCTTTCGTATCCGTTTCAGTTGAAACACTGTAGTACACCAATTGTTGATCCATTTTATCGATAACTTGAAATAAAGTTATCGATAATCCCAGCTTTGGGATCTTCAGGTTGGTTCTACATGTAAACTACATGTGCTCATATCGCAGTGCTGTAAAAGCACTGTGGTGCTTGCTGCATATCAAATGCTGGATGGCTCTGACAGGTGAGCACATTGGAGCAGAGTGTGTACAGGATCTCCTTTTTTGGTTGAATTTCAAAGGCTTCGGCTCTAGAGAGATATTTACAATGCTAATGTTTTCATTTATTTGATGTTGGATTTCCCTCTTACCATACACTTCAGTCTTTTTTTTGGGTTTTTAGCCGTATGCTGTGTCTCACCTGAAACTGTGTGCTGGGATTATGGTGACTGCTTCGCACAACCCCAAACAGGACAATGGCTACAAGGTATTTCACTCCTCAGAACCCTGAGATGTAAAGGCAGAAGCTTGTATTACATTTCGCCCTGCAATTCACATAGCACGGATGTGTTCTTCACAGATTCTTTAGAAAACCGGTCACCCAAAGGTTCTTGGTTCAAGACCCAGCTCTGATTTCCTTATTAGACCCTGAGAGAGTTACTACTGTCATGTTATTTGCCAAAACCACTTTATACCATAAGGTGAAGCCAGAGCCTACCTGGCAAACAACGAGCACAAGGCAGGGTACACCCTGGATGGGACGCCAGTCTGTCGCAGGTCAAGTGCAAGACAATCATACATGGGAACAATTTGGAGGCCACGGTAAAGGCCGAGGGGGGAAATTTGACCTGGACACCGGGATAACTCCCTTCTCTTTATTGAGAAATGCCCGGGGATCTTTAATGACCACTGAGAGTCAGGAGCTGGGTTTAACATCCGAAAGACGGGCAGGCAATGGTCTTCCAAAAATATGACTTTATTAATTGCCATTACAAGGGGAAACGCTCTGAAGTTGAACTTCTTAATAGGAATGTGGTGCAACTATGGCTGTTGTGGGTGAGCTGAAGGGGTTTCCTGCTTGCAAAGTACTGTGTGACAGCAGCTGTGAGGACAAACTCTTGCAATGTGTGTGTGCTAGGTCACATCTTGAACTGGTTGTATCCTGTATCCAGAATATTGAGTGGTGTCTCATGATATGCATTTGTTTGGAAACCTGTTGCGTGCTCTTGAAAATATGTCCTACAACTCCGACAACAGGCTTTGTTTTTTCATGCGATGAGTCGGAAGTGAAGTTGATTTGCTTTTTGACTTTCATCTCATTTTTGGAGTTCATGTCAGAGAACAAGGTCTAGATGTCGGAGTTTCTCCGTTTTAGGAAAGATTTGTGAAGATGTGGATCTCGGGGGGGGCAGAATTAAGGCTGGCTGAGCACGTGCACGAGGAGGGTGAAAAGCAGGTTCGTGGGCAGATTACCCGTGATGTGTGCTTGTCTTGTGCTAGGTCTACTGGGACAATGGGGCTCAGATCATATCACCCCATGACAAAGGGATCTCTGGTGCGATCGAGGAGAACCTGGAGCCCTGGCCACAAGTGTGGGATGAGTCTGTGCTGAAGGGCAGCCCTCTGCTGAAGGATCCATATGCTGACATCAACAGGGACTATTTCCAGGACATCCAGAAACACTGCTTCCACAGGCAAGTCTGCCTGCTGTCAGTGTTCCAATTCATTCACCGCAGAATGTCCACTCCTCCCTGTGGAGAACTAGACCTCTGGACTTTCCCTTAACACAACAGCATGGAAAACATGACATTACAAACATTACATTACAGAACCATTACAAGTTTCTAAGGAGATCTCTCTAGATTTTCCTAACAACACTGTAACGCCTTTTAGCAGTGTGTCACTCTGAATATGCGCTGGATCTGATGTGGTCAGCCCTGCTCTACACCTGTCCATTGACTTCAGGCCTTGAATCCAAGGAAAGAAAACATTCTAATGCTGTATTCATACAGTAGTTCACGGTTCATGCATTAAGAATTTTTAAAGTGGGCATCATTGCAATTTGTCTGTTTCCGACAAGACGTCTACAGAGCCTTCAGCTGAGTTACAATAATAGATTTCCACGGCCTGACTTAGATATATTTCTTTAAAAAGTTTGCCAGAATGAGTGTTCAGTAAATGTAGAAAACACATGAAAGTCACTTTGCTGCAGTTTAACAAGCAATAAAAAGTTACAGCATGGGTTAGTAACAGACTAACAGGTTGATTTGAGATTGAGGGTGCCAGGCCTTTATAACCGAGAGGTATACATAATGGGAGGAGTTCCCATCGGCGAGAGAACCCAACCTCTCATTGCTGGGTGTCCCACTAACCCCTACTCTATCTCCAATCCAGGGACACAAACAAGGACTCCAAGGTGAAGTTTGTCCACACGTCGGTGCACGGGGTCGGACACAAGTTTGTCCAGTCAGCCTTCAGGGCGTTCGGCCTGACCCCCCCGTTTGCAGTCCCCGAGCAGAAAGACCCCGACCCCGAGTTCACCACCGTCAAATACCCCAACCCGGAGGAAGGAGAGGGTGTGCTGGTGCGTGCCGAAGCCTTTCTCCCACTCCGCCTACAGAGCAGGCGCAGGCTCGATTGATTGCTGGTGGTCTTATCCAGACCAGGACCTTACACTGCAGTTGTTTGAACAATCCCAGGGAGTCTGCCTGTGGAAAGTTTGTTTATTATTAAGGCATCGTTCCATCTTGTTTAAAGAAAAGCCTCCCGTTTTTCTGTCCCAAATCCAGTTTTGCAGTGAATTTTTATTGGCATCCACCTGTCCACAATGTCTGTCCCAAGCATTAAGTTGAAATTGGGGTCGATCCTACATCCCTTCTGGGGCCTGAATACCCATAATCATTTCCCTCAAAGTCTGTTTTTGCTTAGTGTCTGTTAATATTCATATACATTCTGCTTTCCCTGGAGTAGTTGAAGAATTAAGAATGAGTTGGCCTGTCTTTCACTGGCAAATGCATTTTATTATGTTAACGTATCTGGATCAATGTGAACATTTTTTTTCGTATTTCTCTAGTGTGTAAACCAGCCTCGTTTACTCTACAGTTATCATTACTATTATTTGTACCACATTGCAGACTGTATAATATTCTGCTTAGGTTACAGTAACTCTCATGCAATTCCACTCTTGTATCTTCAGACTCATGGTATTGTCCGTCTTGTACTTTTTCCAATACCATTAAGGCCTGCTGAGCTAGTTAACCCTCTGCTGTCCTGTTTTCAAAAAATCCACTTTGCATTGTGATTCCTGTCCGGAACAAGCAAAAATGAGCCCAATTCCCACAGTTCAGTTGCAGAGTGAGTAATTAAAGGAGATTTTCCTTTTTTTCCCCACAGACCCTATCGTTTGCCTTGGCTGACAAAACGGGAGCAACTGTGGTTCTGGCTAACGATCCTGATGCCGATCGGCTTGCCGTAGCTGAGAAGCAGCAGAGGTATTGACTCTACAGAGTCTGTGCAAACTGTACCTGTTTTATGACCTGTTGTTCGTTTTTCTGATTGATTTGTGTGTATGCGAAGAGGGAGGGATCGATGCTTGCATCAACTCATGCCAGTATCATTTCCCAATTAATCCGGTGTCTGAAACTCAGTTGATGGACTGGTGCCATGACTTATATAACTTTTTGTGTAATGCAGTTCACAGTCACGGCACCCAGAAATGTTAAATGATAAAATCGATTGCGATAAGAGTGAAGACACAGACACAGCATGAGCAACCATAGCAAATGTCTGTCATGAGACACCATTTCAATAACATCATTATATTTTATTTTAAATTGACGACTGTCACCCAGTTTTGAACTGGCAGTTGTGTTTTTCACTTCTTGGCTCCTGGTTGTGAAACCCATTACCACACACGGGAGAGAATGAAGAATGACCAAGCCCTCTTTTAACACATCTGGGGCAGCACAGGTCACTCAGGAGGCACAGTGTAGTACTCTTAAATGAATAATGAATAATGGGAGAGAGGTAGGCCGAGTGCAGTCATGACTTTGACATTTAAACAAGAGTTCACACGTAGCTTGAGAGAGAATCGTTCAAATTCAGCAGCTTGCTTGGACTGTGTGCTTAATGGTAGAAGGGATTTGTGTCCTAGCGTTGGTGTCAGCACTTCAAGTGAAGAGGGATTCAGATTTTAAACGGCGGGCAATGAGCTTCAGTGGTTGAGGAGCACAAAAGGTCCCCTGGAAAGCGGCTGAGGGGAATTTAGTTAGGAATTTGCGATCAGCCGGCAGGCGGGGAAGGCCCTGACGTAATCTCTTGGTTTGGGCATGGATTTGTCTCCGCAGCGGGGAGTGGAGAGTGTTCTCGGGAAACGAGCTGGGAGCCCTGCTGGGCTGGTGGACCTTCAGCTGCTGGAAGCAGCGGACCGCTGACCCGGGCGCCGTGAAGGACGTCTACATGCTGGCCAGCACCGTGTCCTCGAAAATCCTCAGGGCCATCGCGCTCAAGGAGGGCTTCCACTTCGAGGTACTGCCGCTAACGGGAACAAGAGCACTGGCCAAGAAATCAGACTGTACCGAAGGGCAGAGGACAAAACGCGTGATGTTTTATCTCAGATATACACAGGAGGAGAGTGTCAGTTTGTGAAACGTACCGGTAATTTGAACAGAATGAATCAGAAGATCTGCTTCCTGAACTTCAGTCAAATTTGTTATTTTGTTTACTTACTTACCCTTAATTCCATGGCACTGATGCTCCTGCTGTGTCTTCTGGTTTTATTCCACAGTGGACTCTAAATGACTTTATTTGAATCCGTTGTTCATTCTCTATTATTTCAGCTTCCAGTGCTTTATTCTCTTACTATTGATTTTGTTGATGGGTTTTATCCAAAGTGACCCATTTATACAGCTGGTTATCTTGGTAGAGCATTTCAGGTGAAGTATCTTGATCAAAGGTATAACAGCAGTGTCTCACCTGGGATTTGAACCTACAACCGTCTAGTTGTGAGTCCAGAACCCTAACCACTGCTGGACAGCAGCCTTCAGGGCCCAGGACTGATTATAGTATTGCATCTTCTTCACTTCCTGAGTTTGTTGTCTGATCTTTTTCAGGAAACATTAACTGGATTTAAATGGATGGGAAACAGAGCAAAGCAGCTTCTGGACCAGGGGAAGACGGTTCTCTTTGCTTTCGAAGAGGCGATAGGTAAGCAGTCTTCTGCTGTGCTGACAGGGCTGCTTCAGCCTCCTCTTTCTGCTGCGAGTTGAAATGGATCCATATTTCACTCATTAATACATATCACATCTCTGGAGTTCTGCAAGCCCAAGTGTGAGTGAAACAGCAGCAGTGTCGGGGCCTGTGGTGATCCACAGGTGGAACAGGACCTGCCTTTCTACTGCCACTCCTGGCGGCGCTATAAAATCAGGGATGAATGTCTGGGTCCAAAGCCATTATCTCCTGAGTGGTCCATTTTTTTCCTGGCATTTGATTCTCAGTTTCCTTACACGGACAAGGGGAGACACCTAGTGGTAACTGTAGGTTATTAAGGAAGTGTATCTGCAGCAGAGAAAGGATGGAGAAGATTAATAAAATGTAGTAGTTCAGGTGGGTAGCTGCGTCAGCATGCGTAGGCTGCAAAGGAACAAGTAATAGGTTTATTCCATGCTGAAAAAAAGAAGAAAGAGAACACAACGTTTCGGCCCTGGAGCCTTCTTCAGGTGAAGAAGGCTCCAGGGCCGAAACGTTGTGTTCTCTTTCTTCTTTTTTTCAGCATGGAATAAACCTATTACTCGATTAATAAAATGACTGCTTTGTATGCTATCTACCTATTGATTCCACTGCTTATGTCCTACAATTGTAGAAGAACTGACTTTGGTTTGTTCTGCAGACACACCATTTCAAGGCAGGCTGATTTGGTAGGACTGACTAATTTGAGCCCGCAGCTCCGAGTTACAGTGAAACCCCCTGAAGACAAAACTGGCACTACATTGTGCTCTTTCGTTCTCTTGTCTTCCTGCAGGGTACATGTGCAGCCCGGCTGTTCTTGACAAAGATGGCGTCAGTGCTGCTGCCATTATGGCTGAGTTCACCTGCTGTATGGCTTCTAAAAACCTGACCCTATCCCAGCAACTAAAGGCAATCTATGAAGAGTAAGTCTAAATTAAGGCTTTCCTGGGTCTGTTGAAAAGATAATACAGCTACCATAAGTATACAACAAAACAGATTGCCTCGGTTGGCAAGGTTCTGAATAATCTAGTATTATGTTTCTTCATACAGTACTTTGCTATAACTATCATATGTTTACACCTACGGCAAAGCTGAAACCCATTTGTACGGGCAATTGGAGACCAAACTCGCTGCTTCAAGATCACAAATGGTATTGTTCCATCCATGGAGTTGATTTATACTGTCTGGTCTGGGATCTGTTTAATTGGTTAATTGATTGACCATGTCTAGATCATGTGGCTCCAGTCCTGGTCCTGGAGAGCTCTGATCCAGTTCGTTTTATAGCTCACCTGTTTTTCAAGACGGGCGCAAATTGTAAGTTTTTGCCTGATCAAGGAAGGAACTCTGGACCTTGAGGGCTGGAGAGTGCTCCGATTGTAATCCTAAATTATCCTTAAATTACTTGATTTGATTGAAAGTGCCTTTTTATTAGATCCGTGTGATTGTGAATTGTGGAATTGTTCTATATCTTTGGGTAAATCGATAAGTGGGGGCTCTCCAGTTTCAGCAGAATTTCATTCAGTCAGAAACTTTTTGCTTTTATTTTGTTCCTGTTGAGCTACTGGTTCCCTTCTTTTTCAAGTTTGTTCTCGCTGTTTGCGAGACACCTTTACGCCACATGAATAACCAACTTTCCTTACACTGACTGATGGGCTGACTAGTTTCTGCTGTCCGAAAAGAAGCTAAAACCAATGAGAGCAACATTTACAATTGAACGGTGGAGCTTTTATTGTAATACTGCCTGTTTTCTGCCCCTCTCCCACCTAGGTATGGCTATCACATTTCAGAAAATTCCTACTTCATCTGCCATGACGCAGACACGATCAAAGCGTTATTTGAAAGGCTGCGCAATTATGAAGGAGAGGGCACTTACCCCCAGACATGTGGAAAGTTCAAAGTGACTGGAGTGAGAGATCTAACGACTGGGTACGACAGCAGCCAGCTGGACAAGAAAGCTGTGAGTCGCACAGTTTCCTTCATACTATGTATCCTAGAAATGTGGCCTCTGTTTGTATTGCCAGAAAGTATTCTGTTTTTAGAACTTTTTTTGGACGATATTTTTTTGGTTGGGCTTTGTTCCTGTTGAGCTCCTGAATTTTTGCGAAATGCAAAATGATCACAAAGACCACAAGGAGGTGAGGGTGTTTTTCTTTTATCTGATGTTACATTTAACAGCAGCCTAGTTGAGCCGCCCAAATGAGCTGAAACACAAAATAGTGTTAGCTGAAGCCCTAATTGGCTAACTGAACACTTCAAAATCCTTGAGTTATTTATGAATGTAAATCCTTAACCTGAGAGTATTTTCACCTTTAGTGAGTGTCTTTTTTTTTTCCCTAATGGCTATTCTAGGTGGATAAATGTCAGGATTTTATCATTGTCCTACCTGATAAACGTGAAGAACCTCTAGTTCTTAGTGTGCTGAACAAATAGAAGTTAATTCCACATTGAAAAGTTCAAAGAAAAATACAGTTTTGACCTTTAAGCCTTCTTTAGGTGCAGGGTGAGAGAGGAAGGTAGCGGGGAACTAAAGCACTGGAAAAAGGTGCGATTGAGTATGAGCAAGGAGCAGGAGAGCTTTCAAGCGAATGGAAGTTCAATTCTAGGACACCGGACGTCTGGGGGTTAAATTCCAGGAGACGTGGAAGAATCTGAAATCAGCAAATGGATGGAGAGGTTATAAAAGGAAATGAGGAAGTGGAAGGTGGGATCATAGTTTAAGGATAATCTTGGTGTCTGATTTCCTTCTGCAATAGGAGTCCTGCCATTCCTGTAAAAGGACACAGAAATGTCAGTGTAACCGTGGCAAAGAGAGGTGAAAGGGGGGAACTGCCAGTGAAAAGATATATTTGATCCTCACTTGAGACTCTTCCCGTCTGGCCAATGTAAATCGTAGAGCACTTTCTGCACACTGATGCAGCCTGAACATTCTTGGTATACAATATAGTATTTAGTGTTACAATGAAGGTTAGGGTATGGTTTAGTGTTGGATGCACAAGCAGCATTATGTATTTTGTAGGACTGATGCCGATATCAAAAGTGACTCATGTTTCCGGACATGTATACAGCCGAGTATTTTACTAGAGCAGTCTGGGTAGAGTACCTTGCTTTCGAGATTTGACCCACAACCTTCCAGTCTTGCGTCCAGGGCCCTAACCACTGCTCTACCCTGCTATGCCTCGGATAACCCTTATCCACACAATCCCTTCTTTCACTTCTTGACCTAGTTAGTGTGGCAGCTGTCAACTGCAGATCAGTGGTGGAGCTACCAGTTTTGTTCCCCTTGATAAGCCATTGCTCTTATTATGACATCACACTGTATACCCCTGCTCTCACTGTCTAGGTGCTTCCTACCAGTAAAAGCAGCCAGATGATAACATTTACCTTCTCTAATGGGGGAGTCGCTACAATGAGGACCAGCGGAACAGAACCCAAGATCAAGTACTACACAGAGTTGTGTGCTCCTCCGGGGAACAGGTCAGTAAAGAGAACGACACCCACGCCCATCCCCGCGTCTCTCCCAATTCGAGGCAGAAGGCAGAAATGGCACAGAACGTCTCCTGATTGTCCAGTAGTCCAATTATTGGTCAGTTTTGCAAAGTGACCTTGTGTTTTTAAAAGCACGCATGGGATGGATGAATATCCACTTTTTTTTAAGTGAGTGATGAAGCCAATACAGAGATGGGGATTATTAGGAGGCCATGACTGGTAAGGGCCAATGGGAAATTTGGCCAGGATGCTGGGGTTACACCCCTACTCTTTTCAAGAAACACCCTGGGATTTTTAATGACCACAGAGAGTCAGGACCTCTGTTTTACGTCTCATCCGAAAGACGGCACCTTTTTACAGTATAGTGTCCCCGTCACTATACTGGGGCATTAGGACCCACACAGACTGCAGCGTGAGCGCCCCCTACTGGCCAATCGAACGCCTCTTCCAGCAGCAACCTTAGCTTTTTCTAGGAGGTCACCCGTCCAGGTACTGACCAGGCTCACACTTGCTGACCTTCAGTGCGTTGCCAGTTGTGAGGTGCAGGGTGATATGGCTGCTGGCTTTGGGGATTAGCTCTGACTAGTGGTAGCTATAGCTCTCTGCTGAATCCTAATCAGGGTGAAACTGCTTTCTGCGGCTTCTCCCTTTGACTTGCATGCCAAGCAGATTTGGGAGCAGAATTCTTGTTATGGATCAGTCAGAGCTAATTCAGATTCCTGTATTAATATGACTGTCTGTAACAACAGCTGTTGTTTTTCATCGGGCGTCAGGAGGACAAGAGAGTTTCCAGTTTGGTATTTCCACATGATACCGGCTGACGTGCTCCTGGCCATCGGACTCCCTGCCCGTATTATGCAGTCAGCTCTGTTTGGCCTTGTAATTGCTAGGTTAAATATAAATTAACTACTGTCGGCTTCTACAGTAGGTCTGCCCTTTGTAATATTGCACCACAGGCTACTACCACTAGGTGGTGCTGAATGTTAGATTGTAAAGGAAAGGCTTTTAGCTTTGATTCATTGTTCCTGCTGTGGCCTGATCTATACACGAACACGTCAAGAGCCCATCAAAAGATGTTTCTGACTTTCTATTCACAGCGACACGGAGCAGCTGAAAAAGGAGCTCAACGGCCTGGTGAACGCGATGGTGGAGCACTTTTTTGAACCAAAGAAGAACAAGCTCCAGCCTCGGCCGGAATAAAGTACTGTGATTCCACAGAGCCGCAAAACAAGCCTTAACAGATATTCCTTTGAAATGGTTTTAAGTCTTTTAAACACTGTGCACACTGTCGCGTACCTACTTAAACATACACACAGCTAACATTGCCATAGTCTGACCATAATAGTTAGTACTTTCTCCCTTCACTTAAAAATAAAATGTTCATTTTTAACATACAGTAAAACTACAGAAGTAATATGGAAGCATTTTGAAGAATATTCTTCTGTACTTGTGCTATAAAACATTATATTCAAAACTTGCTGAAGCAAAATAAGGGAATAGTTATACTTTTATTAATATTACTGTTGGTAGTAATGTAAATCAAGTTTCACAGGCATTCTTCAAGGGCAGTTTTTTTGTGTTCTCCATAAAGTCATTGCACACATGGAGCACTGAACAAAGGCATTATAAAGAATAGTTCATCTATGTTTGTTTCAAATATCCAGAGCAATTTCTACATCACAAAGGCGGGAACATCCTTCAGAACCGTTAAGAACAATTTCCAATTTCTTGCTGCACAGATTCTAGTTGTCTCACATCTCAGCTCTGCTTGTTTGTATCTTCCTGGCAGCCCTTGTCAGGAACTTCCACCCCATCTCAGTTATTTTGTCCGTGTCTTTAATTCATTTGAAAAATTTAGGACTTTGGTCCAGGCTTGAAAGGTGTCGGAGCTACCGAAGCAGAATATCGTAAAGCACTAATTGTAAAACCCTGGAACAAATGTTGTCACTTTTAGACCAGAATTAGATCCATTTAGTAAATTGAAAGCGAATGGTTGGAATTAAAATCAGAAGGCCCTGCAGCCTCTCAGAAATGGATTTTGATTAACCTCAGCTCAACCTGAAGTCCATGATTTCATTACTTGTAGTACCTTGTAGTCCGAGATTCTCAAACAGGTTTTCCTGTCCTGGCTGCTGGGCCTCTTCTTAAAGATTACTTAAGCACAGGAATTGCTTAATTGACCAGTAATTAGTAAATATTCCCAGCCTTCAGAAACAGGTGATATGGGTCAATTTATTTAAGACTTAACTGTATTGGGGTTATGGAGAACTGTAATTAGAATTTAAGGAAAGGGTAATTAGAAATTAAGGGAATCCCTTCCTCCCAAAAAGGGCTTTATGCTTGTCACCATCAAGCATGCTGTGTTAGATGGAGCGATGGCTTTGTGGCTAGGGATCTGTGCCTGTGGCTGTAAGGTTGCTGGTTCAAATCCCGCGGCTGGCAGAGGAATTCTACTCCGTTGGGCCCCTGAGCAAGGCCCTTGAACCCCAACTGCTCCAGGGGCACTGTATAAATGGCTGACCCTGCACTCTGACCCCAAGCTTCTCTCTCCCCAACTGTGTGCCAGTGTGTCTCATAGGGAGAAAGCTGGGGTATGCGAAAAGACAAATTCCTATTGCAAGACATTGTATATGGCTAATAAAGTGATCTTATCTTATTAGATAAACGGTCTCGTCCTTACTGCTCATCCACAGGGAAAATGGGACCTGTTTTTTTTCTAATGCTAGAAAGAAACGTCCTGTCTCTTCACTTCAGGGCAGAATTGTCTTAACCTGCTACATCGGTTTCATGCACTGGAATGCCTTGACTATAAACGGACCCGTCAAAATTTAAAAATGGTAGAACAGGGTAGAATTATGACTTTTTCTGCTGAGTATGTACTGAAAGGTATACTGCACTGCAGTGCTATTTACAACTCGCTGATAAATGCCAGGTGTTTTTTTGCTTTTCAGATCTGAGACTTTAAAGATGATTGTACGTCTAGATTGCTTTTTGTTTGTACACAACATTAACACATAGTACAGAAATGAGCTGATAATCAGTATGGTTGCTGTAGCAGAAAATAAAAATGAAAACCTGAATGCTGTCCCTTAATGGAAATGTATCAAATGGTGTTGTATTATAGCAGTTTATAGAGATTGTTGTGGAATGGAATGTAGGAAAAATAATTCATCCAGTAAAGGACAGGAGTATGAACACACTTCTATCGCGGTAGTAAAGGGCCTATTTCACACCGATAATATTGCTACTGGTGGACTATAGCTATATGTGCTCCATACATGGTTACTCTTTTAGTGTAGTTGTCAGTTTCTCTACAAAAAACATAAGTGTAATTTATTTTAAAAAAGTAAGAAGTCAAGTTTTGATCATGTCACAAACGTTTCAAGCTTTTCAGCTTTCTTGTAACTAGAATTATTACAGTATGGCAATGCAAGTTTTTTCTTCACTGCTTCACGTTTTTCATAACTCCAGATTTCCAAACTGAGCTGAAAGGAAGACTAAAGGTGTTGAGAGAAATTTGCAGGGTTAACCCCCATTTCCCAGCTTCTTTGTTGACAATATCGGTATGAATTAAACTATTTTGCATGGGGGGGAAAAAGATGCATTTGGGTGTATGCACATTCACTCTGAATGATTGAGAAAACACGGCTCAGAACATTCCCTTGCAGAAAAGATTTTGTTTGTGCTTTGTTACTGTTTTTTCTTTGTCATTCCATTAGAATACCCGTGTTCCTCAGGTCCCTCTGTCTTTGCAAACGATAAACCAGAATTCTGTAAAATATACAAGTATACGATAGATGTGGAAGCATTTGATATGGCATCAACTGATCAGTAAGTGGTTGTTCATTACTTGGTGAAAGAAATTAGGCTACATTTTTTGGTTTGAAAGAGGCTGTGAAGCAATTTTATTTTTGCTCTTTGTGTCCATTTTTACAAACCATTGGAGATATTTAAATAAAGAACGGTATTAACAAGTAAATGCCTTTTTATGTTTTTTCTGTAGAAGCTAGTTTTGTAACTGTTGACAAACTGCATCCTGGGTGAGTCTTTTCATATAAACAGTGCTGCTCTTCTGCACTGTCTGGCTCACTAGTCGAAGGTATTACTTGAAAATGGGGGTAATGTATGTACATCAAGAAGGCTACAATCCAGAGAAGGCCATTTAGCTCGTGTGGCCTCGAGTATCTTTTCAGTCCCAGAATCCCACCTGGCCGTTTCTTAAAGGTTTGCTCCGAGTCCGTTTCAACAACCTGCCTAGGGAGTTTGTCCAGACTCCTTCTCTGTGTCAAGAAGTGTCTCTTGTTTTTACGTTTGTCATGAATGCTTCTAAACCAGATTCTTCTTGGATCCTTGATTCGATGTTGATCTGGAAGAGATCTAGACTGGTCTATGCAAGATTTTGTATACTTGAGTCATGTCCCCATGAATTCATTCTATTCCAGGCTAAAGAGATTAATGTGTCAGAGTGAGGCATTCGCTTTGCACTGGGAATTAGTCTGGTTTCTCTCCATTGGGTAACCTCTACACCACGATTACCTGCCCTATAGGGTGATGACCACAACCGAACACTGTTCCAAATGAAGTCTACCTAGTAGTGCATTTATTATTCATACCCTTTAAAGGTAATACTCTGAACTGAGCATCCAAGCAAGCTGTTGTAAAAAAAGATTTATTTCTGAATGACGAAACCATTTAGTCCGTTATTATTTCATTTAAGTCACTGTGGTCATGTTTCATGACCAAGATTAGCTACCATATGCACTGCTAGGCAAATTTTACCTGAAATACATACGGGTAGTCCAGGATTTAGATCAGTTGGGGATCCATGAGACCACTGGTAAGAGTCCTGATCCCCCCCAAAAAATACTGGTGTAGTATGTGGTTAATTTGTGGGCATGGGTATAGGTGAGTGCTACTTTCATGTATTGTAAATAGACTGGTAACGCCGTATACTTTAATACTCAGCGCTTCTATTCTCTATAAGATGGAATGCAACTGTGCATTTCTATTACTACAAAGGGGTGACATTTATTATCAAACTGGCAAACAAGGTTATCTGATACCGGGGCTTTCAATTACTTTAAGATGCGAGTAATGGAACAGTACTGACCGTCTAACACAAGGAACCAAGCGATCATTACGTCAAAATCATTTCACGAAGCCCTGCGCTCATTTCACTCATTGACTATTGCTACAGTGTGTTTACATTTCCTACAACACTGTGCACTCGTACAAGCTACAGTAGCTCTCATAGACTTGCAAAGCCTATTTCAAGAAACGAAGTGAGCGCTTGCTATCCTTCCTGTGGTGGCTACGGCGTGAATCTCGGTGATTTTGGGGCGAGGGACGAAAACGGGGACAGCAGTCCAGAAGGACAAAGTTAAAGACCACAGAGAGAAAACTACTAGAATCCAAATAAGGTAATTACAATCTGGTGTAAAAAATAAACACTTCTGAAACTCCTACTTACGTGCATTGTATGTACGTTATGCCTGTATTTAATTTGCTCAAAGTTCGCCCAAGTGCAGTATACAGTTTAAATGAAAAAAAAGACTAGGGAGACTGCAATTTAACCAGATAACTGAGGTACCCAGAGTATTTATTTCAATGTGGGGTGAAGATGTGGCGTTGATACCGGTTTATACACGGAGCTCGGCCCTCTCCTGGCCTCCGTCTCCCCAGATATGGATGAGAGAGATATGGATGTACGGGTTTATCCAGGTACAGTAGCACAAGCAAGCGCGCCGACAGCGAGAAGCGTCCAAGCTAACACGACTAAGCAACAGAAGACTTCAAATATAACATTCTCGTTATGCCCAGATTGTCACTCATTTTACTGCACGGCGGGTTTCCTTTACTGCTACTGGAAGGTTACAACTCTGCATGCAGTTGCACAGCGGGGAGAGGCCGCAGGTATCAGCTGGGCGGTATTAATAGACGCGCAGCGGCCGCCTGCTTGGGGCTCAGGAGCGCGCCGCTGATTAGTCAGCGTGTGGGGGGGCGGCGGGGCGGCTCTGAGCCGCAGGAGAGGCGACGTAGGTGAGACTCTGCGCAGTGCACCGGGTTTGGAAAGAGTGCGGTCCTGTCACTGCTGTACCTGCTCTGAAGATGCTGGAAGAAAGCGTTATCTAGGAAACGCAATTCCACATAAGGTTAAAACAAATTAAAAAACCGGCTGATGTAAGGAATAAGAGCCGATACACATAAAAGGCAAATTATTGCTTTTCACCTGCTACCTCACGGTGGGCTCACCCGACCTCGAGATAAGGTAAGCCTGGCTTTTCCCGGTATCTCGCTGCGTAATGGTGCACAGTGCCGTTTATTCACACATGGGACTATCTTTTCACTACCCTCGCCTGTCTGGGTTAAGCAAACATTTCTGCCGGCCCTTATCAATCGCACTCGCACAACTGTTGCACCGGTACATGGCTTGTGTAAGCTAAAACATAGTGGGAGCTGGCTGGTCGGGTGACCATAAAGTACCACACTTCTCAAGATCAGCAACAACGCGTTTCTCTAAAAAAAAAAAAAAAAAACCAAGTAGTTCTTATATTTTTAGTTGGGCGATCTTATTTACAGCAGTTTCCGTCTTGGGTGCTCTGTGGCGAGAGCAGATGCTGGCGATGCACAACGAGGAGGCAGCGTCAGACAGGACATGAGCGCCGCTTCTCTGGAAGCTAAACAAGTCTTTGCAAGGTCGCCCTCCCTGCAGGCGCGTTGAAACGTCGCTTTCGGGAGAACCGGAGCAGGGTTTATTCCTTGCCATGCCTCCTGGTGTGAGCCGCCAAATCCAGAAATTGTCGCCGCGGGGAAGCGTTTAGGTCTTAACCTTCTGCGTCTGCAGTTTTACTGTAATGACTGGCACAGCTCCGCGGGAGGAATAGAGCGAATGTAATAGGATATATGTGCACCCCTCCACGGGAGAAGTTAGTACCACAAGACGGAAGGAAGTCTGTGAGAGTTAGCCTTTAAGAAGTCAAGGTGAAATATGGAAGTTAAAAATAGTAATAGTCCATGTTAACTGAAATGAGCGTTAGGCCTAATGCAGCCTGGATGTACCGGTAGTAACATGACATAAAATAGCACTGGCTTTCTCAGTGCATCACCGTTATATATTACTGTAATCGTTATTAGTGTTATTTTAAGTCTTTTTTTTTCCCTCATTGAAACATTTCTCCCTAATTTGATTTGCAGACTGCCACATTCAAATCATCTAATCATTTAAGATCTCTTGGAAACCGGCTTTGGTAAACATTCGTTGTGATTTCTGAAGAGCTCGGCCCACCTAAAATTCTTACCACGGTAATTCTCAGCTGCTAAGTTTTCCCGTACTTTCATTACCTGCCTGCCTTGCTTTCACGACGGTGCAACTGCACTTTCCTGTGCCGTGCTTCAGCTGTATTGCACTGATACGGTAGCAGTGTAGATAATGGTTAGCAAACCTGACTGTGGGCTGTGGGTTCAGATCCCAGAGGAGACTGCCAAATATAAATCCAGTAAACACCCTGCCTTTTTAAAAGGGTATTGAGGTACTGTAATCACGGTAAAAATGAGAATGTGTTTTCAATTGACTTAACTCGGGGAGAAAACAGTAATAATATTCCCTGTTTTCCAAAAGAGATTGGTGTAAGAGAGTGCTTGCAGTTAAACAGTGAGTATCGTTTAGCTTGCAGCACAAACCTATGCCAGCAAATGCTCTGCTCCCAGCAGACTGCTTGATTTATGGATTGGGTGATTGATTGCGGGTTTCGGTTTCTCCTGGCCTAGTAAAAGCAAGCTGTTACATGGATAGGTGAAACGCTAACCTACTCTGGGGAGAAAATAAGTCCATGCACTTGTTTTTGGGGGGAATAAAAAGAGTGGGAGCATCCTGTTCAGCCCTAGAGAAACAGTGACCGTTGTTCAGTTCAATCAAAAGTCATTCCAGAACAGGTACAAAGAAGAGGAGGCCACTCAGTCCGTGTAGCTTGTTTAATTGCCAGTCGATCGGAACTGATCTGAGGATATTCCTAAAGTGAAGCCAGGTATCGGCTTTGACAACATAATAGGAAAGCTTGTTCCATTCTCCAACAACCCTTTGGCGCAACATCATGCACACCAGCCCTCTTTAGGAGCCTGCATCAGGCCCTGTGAGATGCAGGGGGCCAAGATGTCAGATGCAGACGGGTGTGGACATCTGCACGCAGACAGACGCACGCTTTCACCAAAAAGAATAACCTGTACTACACAATCTTGCATGTGGAGGTTGTAGGCTGACGGGAGAGAAATGCCAGTGTTCGTTTTCTCTTTGGGCAGGTTTGCTCGTGTGTGCTCTGTGCCTCACGGTGGTCGCCGGTCTCTCCTCGACACGGGCGGTCAGTGACGGGTTCCGTGTTTCTGTGATGTCCAGGCAGCGGCTCCGGGACATGGAGGACACGGGTGGGCTGTGTTTTGAAGTGAAGCAGAGGAGGGGCGACGAGCTGTTTGGCCCTCATGAGGGCCGGGTGCAGTACAGTCTCCAGATGGTGGGCTTTCTGCCCGTGCACGCCCTCACCACCCTGCCCATGCTCCCCTGGATCGTGGCCGAGATCCGACGCCTCGGCGCCCGCGAGCAGGTCGCCCTCCACGTCTCCCCGACCTCCATCCGCTGCGTCCTGGACACCGGCCACGGCCAGCAGTGGGACCCCTTGCGCTATAGCGTGGTCTTCGAGCACCGGCCCCAGCACGTGTGCAGGCTCATCCACAACAGCCACGATCCCAGCTACTTCGCCTGCCTGATCCGGGAGGCGGCCCCTGGCCTCCGAGAGCAGAGGACCACCTGCTACGTCTTCTGCTGTGCTGATCAAGCCAAGGTAGGGCCCGACGCGCCACACCTCGCCTGCCCGCTCCGCAAGGCAGCTCGTGTACACATCCCTGCTGTGAGATGGCACTGTACCCCCCAGCAGGGTCCAGCAGTACAGTGTTCCCTAATTCGGGCCTCGGAGATCCTCAGTCTTAAAATACAGGTGGTTTTCAACACATAGCTAAAGATCTTGTTGATCTGGTCTTCACAAGACGAGAAGTATTTCAATTAAGCGACTAAGAACTTGGTTGGAATGGAAGTTCGAAGATCGTAGAGTGTTATTTTACTTCTTTTTTCCTCGTTCAAACATTTTTACCCGATCTGTTTTGCAGACTGCCGCATTCAAATCACAACAACGCGGCTACTGCGCACTTTCCTGTTTTCCTCACGATCGAGTTTGCTGTGCTGTGCTTCAGCTGTACTGCACTCCACTCTGATAAGGCGTAGATTTCTGCCTCCCTGACCAGGATTCTGGAGCAGTACTGAGAAAATGAGAAACCAGCGAGGCAAGGCTCATCAGCTTTCAGTCGGGCAAACGGATTTCGCCGTGCGTGCGTGACCTGACGTGTGAATTACTGTCATCGTGAGGGAAAGCTGCAGTCCCAGGAGACAAAAAAAAAATGGGCTTGTTCAAGGATTTTTTTGGAGAGATGAGAGTTGATGGTACAGGTTCAAGAGCGTCCTGATTCACCTGTCAGTGGGATGAGAATGGGGATAAGAAGAAGTAAGATAGTATCGAAATGAAAAAATATTAAATTAAAAGATGGTGCTTAGCCCGCATAACGTGATATAGAATACGGCTGGTGTGTGTTGAGGTGTTTTGGGTATTCTCTTCTTGCTCTAGATGCAGCAAGTGATTTAAAGACATGTAGGTCCTTCACAGACCCATCTATCTGAAACCTTCAGATGAGATAACGCGGTTCGGAAGAGCTATTTCTTGAATTATCACGGTCAAAAACCTGTTTGGGGTAGGTTGTTCCAAACACCCACAGCTCTTTGTGCAAAACAATGTGCCTTCTAATATCTGACCTCTGTACACTTGTGTTTAACAGACCCCTAATCTCTTTACTCAGCTTGAAACATTTGCATAGTAACAGTTAATAAATGTGAAGTGTATCTGTATATTAAATATGATTACATAAACATCCATTAAACATTGAAATGAATCTAATGGTTCATTTGGCACATGCATAATTAAATATATGTGTATGCATTTTTAAAATATGATTTTTTTTTAAAAAAACAAAATTTTCCTAAATGTGTCCAAGGCGTATGCTGGGGATGTTTTTATCCTCAATCTGCGTGTACTGTATATATTTGTGTCGTGGTGTCTTTGGCTTTCAAGTTGGCGATGTTGGCTGTCGGCTCAGGGTTTCTAGGGATCAGAACCTTCCAAAAAGACTGAAGAGAGAGCTGAGAGTGCTCCAGGTCCCCACTGCAGAGCTGACTTCAAAGAAAAGGTCAAAGCTCAGCGGGGTGGGGGAAATGAGGGGTAGATCCTGCATTGAAGCAGGAGCCATGGAGAAGGTTAGCGCCCAGCCGGTCCTTGGAGAGGGGCTATAAAAAGCTTGGTGGAAGGCTAGTGACCTCATAAGTATTTGTTTTGAGATTTAGCGAGCGGGCGATGTGCAGCGATGCGGGGCTGACTGATTTATTTTTGTAAGACAGAGTATGGGGATGGCAATGCCAAGGAGAACACAGCTGTTGGTCAGCTGTCCAAATGAGCTTTTAATAGTCCTGTGCAGCATCTCACCCTCTGCTGGACTGTTTTCCTAATAATAATGCTAATAATAAATCCGGTGCAGGCGGTGTTCCGTTTGCAGCCTCTACAGTTCACTTCATTGCCGAATTAATTAGTGGGGGCACTGCAACGGTGATTTCTGATTGATCAGTTTTGACTAATCTTTTTTTGGGGGGGTATGTCATCACTGGTGTTTTATGTGCATTACCTAAACGTGCATGTTTTTCTACTTAAGGACTCTTGACTTTTTGGTCTGTTTTAAAAGATGTTGAAATTTGTGCATACAATGCAGTGTAGTGTAGATGGTTCGAGGACGTGTTTGCAGTTAAGTAAGACACTCGTTCTGATCACATTTTGATTTGTTGGACTGACAGACCTTTCGGGGGCTCCTGCTTCAGTGGTTTGATTGGGCAGACGAGCAGCACAGCCACTTTGCTGCAGTATCCAGAAGTTTAGGCAAATCAAGTGGGCGTTTCTGGATTTGCTCAGTATTTAACACGGCACGAAAACACGAAATGGAACGTAACCATAGCAAAAAAAAAAACAATAATATTTAATAGAATAATGTACACATCCTAAGGCTTTACAAAAAGGTTGTACACCAAGAAATACTGTTCCCTGTAGGCAACACAATACGAATGTGATGCTCTGAATTTTTCTTTTTGTGTAAAAAACAGGATTTCCCATGCTTAGATGGGTAAAATATTCAGACATGATGAGAAAAAAAAGGGATGGTGCACTGTGAAATGTTTAAGAGAAGAGCCTCCGAAAGTTGAGATCTTTCACTTAACTTCTGGCTTGATAAGAGGTTTTGATTAAAACAAAATCCAGAAGGGTATTTATTAAAGTTTCTGTTTTTTCCCCAATAGGAAGGTTACATTTTGAAACATTGGCAGGTCAATAAATTAATTCCATATCCATGAGCGTCTGCTGATTTGGTGCTTTTAGTTTTATCTAGGCTTATGTGGCCCTCATTTCTGGAAAGTGGGAGCCCACTGTTTTGTGTGATGCAGGGGTCCTATTCGTTTCAGTACTGTGAGTATTGGTGCAAGACAATACTAGGTTCCAAACTTGTAATCCTTTCTGTAATGTTTTGGTCCTGTATACGTTTGTGATGAATAAAAACGGTCTGTTAGGGCTTAAGGCATTTGGAATTCTCTATTGCCATTGCAGAAGCCATCTGTGTAGGTGACTCAGGCATCACCTCAGAAACAGTCAATATAATGGCCAAGGTTTTCTTTATGGGTTTTAAACAAATTCTTCAACAGGAAATACTGCCTGGTTGCCCAGGCGATGGCTTCCTGTGGTATTTTGACAGTCATTGTCATTATCATTTACCATAACTTCAAATGAGTCAGTGAATGAGATTCGGAAACAAAGGAAGGAAGCTTACTTGTGCCTACATTTGTGTGATGTCTGCACATAACTGTCTACAAAACCAAACGAAGAAGTTGGTCATTCCATGATATTTGCTTAAAAACCGCAATTACAGAAACAGACGTCCATAACCATGCCTCAAAGCAAACCGATTTCATCTCATTTGATATATTGACTATTCCCCCTCAGGTCTTAAATAACTCAGAATATGTAATTGTTTATAAATAATAAATAACAATTGTGTGAATTAGAACAGGCTGGTTAATGGCAGTATGTTAATTGCAGTGTGGCGTTTTTGTTGTTGGGTTTCACCCTGTGTTCTTTCTAGTCAAAGTATAAGGCCAGGTTCTGTGTCGTCCCTGTTTCCTACAGTAGAAAAGAAATCCTGGTCTTTAACTCTGCATTCTCCTTCAGGACAATAACCGGGTAACACTGGTCTCTTATGTACCCTGGCAGAGAGCTTTTGTTCTGTCGGAGAGTGATCTGAGATGCTACAATTCCATATCCAGATATGGAAATGTTTTGATTTCCTTTCAAAGTGAATGTACTTATTTTCTCAACACTTTATTCTACAGTTAAGTAGAAGTAGTATTCTACAGCACGTTCCACTGGGTTGATTTGTTTGGCAGCAAATGAACAGTATAGTCTAAACAGAATCCAGACCAGGGACAAAGTGGGCTCTGCACAGCGTGTGGAACTCTGCTTGCTCCATGGTGCTCGATGATGAATGAGGACAGGACAGGTCACACGCACGCATACCTTGACTTCCCTCATGCTTGGCGCTGCTGATCCCCTGTCCCAGGCCCTGCTGGGATCCTCATGGCTTTCCCGGTCTTCTGAGATGCAGCCAGAGCGCTGCAGGAGCAGAACCTACCTCGTGGTCGGCCATATCTACTGTGAGACATATTTGGGTTAACATGTGCAGTGTTTTGTGTGTGGTGCGAGTGAAGTTTTATTTAATCTGTGGTGTGGACGGTTGAGGAGAGAATGCAGGCTCGCGCTGTGTCCATTATCCTTTTTTTTCCTCTTGCTTGGTCTGCTAGTTTTGTTTTGTTTTTATCAATAAAGTTTGATAATCGGCCAGTGAAAGCTCTGTTTTCCTTTACATGAATGTCAGAAACCCTATATCGAACCCAGGATTTTACACGACTACTGTAAGACAGGCTGCAGCTCGATATGTTTAGTCCTGTACTTTCTGACTTCACAACTAGGTCAGGGTTTTAACAGCGAAGGCAGCTAGCAGGCCTGTTTGATAGATCAATGCGTGAAACGGAGAACTACTGTAGCAACAGGGAAAAAGGACTGTTTCTAAGCCCAATAATGAGTTGTTAGTGAGGAGGTTACTAGTTTCAGCACCAGCATGGTTTTAAAAGTCAATGGTGATATTGAATACATTTGTCTTTGCTGTCTGTGACATCCATGATGTCAAGTATTCCAGAACACTGTACAGAACTGAAAACAAGATGGCGGAGCTTATGAATGTGTTACATTGCAATGGCATAAAACACTCCAAAAGATAAGCTTTCCGTTTGGAATAAACTCAGTCTGGAGTGTAAGCATTTATAATGTCAACTGGAATGGATTTCCGTGGGTAGAGAGCGTAACAGAGGAAGCCTGCAGTATTTGTGAGGAAGTCACTCCATCTCGGTTGTGTGAGGTAACAATTAGAGTAGTGCATGACGTCATCAGGCCTCCTTGGAGAGAACAGACCCTTTATCATTGGAATCCCCTTCATCAATTATTCCAGCAGCTACAAACTAAATGTGAAAACTTTGAAACTTCAGAAAGAGCTTTAATTCCCTGGGGGTTTTCTGTTAGGAAGCATGCTAGCAAAACAAAAGGAGCTGAAATACAAATAAATGTTTACTTCAACAGTGAGGGTGAGGTTTTTAGATAATCACACAGATAACTAGCCCAGGCTTTTTGTTCACCTTTGCAACAAAAGCAAGAAGCTTAAAATAACCTGTGGCTTACTTTTTAGAGAATGACATTTCTTAAGCTCTAATGTGAGCTCTTGTGAGCTGACCAGTACTACAACTGTCAGACATTCAGTGTCAAGCCCACGGGTGGTTCACAGACTTAGTTTTGGGAACCAATTGTCTGCCTATTTTTTTTTCCCACCTTTTCCAAAGCAGTTTATTTATGAACATAGGTGGAATAGCTGTATTTTACTCCTGTGGCTGTTCAGAGCTTACTAACCCAAGGTTTTCATCCCATACTTTCTGGAAAGATCAGAGGGACTCAACTTGAGCAGCATGTCTGGGTAATATGTCCACTGTAGCTGTTTATTCATTTCTTATATGCATTATTCTTCCAAGATCATTTGCATCTCAAGCCCAAGCAATCAAAGCTCAGGTTTTGATTATACACTGTTGAGTGCAATATAACGTTTTCGCCAGCTAATTGCTTTACCGGGCAAATTCATAAGCTAGGAGACAGAGCACAACATAACCTTTGACCCCATGACATTTGACCCAGATATGTTTAGGGCAGTCTTAACCATCATCATAAGGAGAAGACAAAGACATGCACGGATTTTTCATTTACGTCTAACACACCTGTCTTGTGCACCAGCCCCTTACTTTCTCCCAACTGAATCTCAAGAGGCTTTACCTGAATTATTTTTTAAAAAAAAACGGACAATCTTCTGGAATCCATAAAGGCATTCGTTGAGAATACCAGTATATATACATAAAGAAGGGGATGAAACAGCAAACAGTATGAACTGCCTTTTAAAGTTTAATACTTCAAAGTGCAATTCAATAATATCAGTATTGTGTTTCACTGAATTCAAGAGCAGACTTGCACATTTTGTTAAGATGATGACTGTGTTCGGTTCCATTGGAAATTCTGACACTGTTGTGTTTTGAAATGTGCCTCTTATGCATGGCTGTAGCTACTGTGCCTTCATAACACCTTTCACAGTGTCTATGACTGGAGAGACCGTTTGAAGGGGTGCAATGTAGGAACGGGAATATGGCTATAATCTCTGTAAAAATGTCACCTGTATTAGTCACATTTCTTTTCCTGTCAAGTGTCGTCTCTGTTGTTTCATCTTGT